TAACCCCTGCATGACCTTCTACAACTCTGCTGATAAACCATCGTAACCCTATGAACACTGGCGCTCATGTTCATTATGCTTGTGCATGGTAGGATAGTTCTTTAACATCCTTAACAAAAAAAACACCTTTGCTGTTACCAGGGGTGCATTAACAACGGGCCTCTGTTAAAAAGGGACAGTAACAAACTGTGTTTCATAAAATTTTATACCTCAAGTTGATTGTCCCATATTGAAAAATAAAGTCCATGTTCCATTTTTTTAAATTATATCGATGGGGACCTTCCTCCTCTATTCAACAAATTTAATCGTGGGTTGGTCCGCAATCCCTGGGCCCCTTGTCCCTGGTCGATAAATACACCATCATAGGAAATAGTAGGCAGCCTATGGACAACTGAAATAGCCCAGGGCCCTCTGACCATGCTAACGTGCTAACAACAAAAATGCAGTTTAATCGGTTTCTGTCGTCGTTCTTACCTCTCCGGCATGTTTGCGTTGCTGAAGTTTCCCCTTTGGCTTCTCATTCCATTAAACTCTGTTGGCCCCCATTCTGCTCCCATGTTACGGGCTGTATTCTCATCCCAGCCAATGATTTCATATCCGGCCTGTTTATCGTTATTTTTTCCCCCGTCACATCACCGTGACAACATGGAGAGTGCCACATAAAATCAACCCTGTGATGCCATTACAAAGACAAGAGTCCTGACCCAAGATTCTGGAAGCTGTTCTTAGCAGAAGCTGAAAGGATCCTGACAGTCAGCGGCAGTTCTGCATTACCTATTGCCTATTACTGTTGTCCCAATGACATTTTCTTCACCTATCTACAATCATGAGGTAAAGCTTAATGTCTTCATTACTTCTCATGAACAAAGACATCTCCTCCGGGTAACCCTAAAAAAAATAAATCACGGACGTAGTATGGAGGCTGTTTACTGTTTTACTTAGGCTATGTAATGTTTTTGTAGTCTTTCCTTGGATTTTATTGAAGATGATGAATTACAAGCCATGTCCGTGTGGACACTGTCCAATGAAGGAAATGTTACGGATCGGTAAGAATGGAAATGGTAATCAGGACACCTTCACATAAACAAACCTAGTCTCAGCTATGCCTTTATTTTTGTAGGGTTTTCTCTCGTTCAGACTGACACAGGGCACCATTCGTTTAGACGGACATCGGGTGGTTTGCACTTCATTTTGCCTTTCATGTCACATTCAATCCCACCAGCATGTTCCTTCTAATCCATGCTGAAGATGAGCAGCCTGACTACCTCAGAGTTTGTCCACAGCAGAGATCCTTATGAGAAGCCATCACCCCAGAGGGTCCCATCCCACAACATGAAAGCAGATGTCCGGACCGTCATTTGGTTAGGTTTCAGTACAAAATTGTTTGCAGCTCAGCCAGAAATGGCAATTATTGGGAACAGAATGCCAGCTCTCCACCTACATGGAAACCAAAACCTTGTAGAAGCCAAACACTACAATGGGCACTCAGAGGCACCCCATATGAGAACAAAAAATACAGGATACGTCCCAACCAGCGCAATTCAGGGAGAAAAAATGTTTGTTTTTGATACTTTTGAGGGAGTAACAGAACCTGTACCACAGTTCAACTACATATTCAGTTAATGACTAGTCATGACCAACCTCATTTCCCAAAAACTCTTCTATATATCAGCTAAAATCCAAGAGGACAACAATTCCACTATAGTGTACAGACATAAAACGGCCACTCTGCCTTTTAGCACTCAACACCAAGGGTCTGGGTAGAAGAGTTATCATTAGCGTTCAGAGGCCGACCAGTTCAGCCCCAAGGTGGAACCAAAGAAGTGGTTAATAAAACACAAAGCTATCCTTTTGTGCTTCTTTAACACAGTCTATCTCAGGCCCCCATGGTCTGGTTTTAATCCACAGACGTCACGATTGTTTCCATAGTGCCGCCATCCTAACCTTATTTCCTCGTAGTCACTTGAGACATCCATGATGAGCTAGCCTATAAGCATAACCCTTGGGGCCTAGCCCCCCCCCCCTTTGGGCGCCTGGCTGGGGGGAGACCTTGGGCCGTACGTCTGGGTGCCCTCGTGGGTTCGGCTACCATTATGAGCTTCTAGCTGAACGGCGACAACTCAAGGTAACAGGCCACGGGGACTCCTGCCTACAGACATGAGGTAATATGCCGTTAATTGCACTGAGACAGGGCTGGGCCAGGAACCCACAAAAGGCGCAGGAGCAGGTAAAATCTCCCCCTATATATCTTCAGTGAAAGAGAAGAAACTTTGTTACTGAATTCCACCATTTAAAAAAAAAAAAATGCTCACAGTTGGAGGAGGTTACCCCCCCCGCTTTGAAGGGCAATGCGAGCAATTTGTCATATAACTTACGACATGGAGGGAAACTCAGGATGTCTACTGTGACAGCATAATTTAGCACAGTAAATCAAAACGTCGATGGGTGAGTCATCCCTTACAACTACTTCCGCAAACCCATCAAGAATGACACTGGACATGTGATGAGAGTCAGACACGTGACCGTCCAAGCCTCCTGGGGCAACCTCGCATGTCCAGATCAGTGTGACCCAGATCCTGGGCCAATCCGTGGCCAAATCAGAGGGTCAGTCTGGGAATTTACAGGCATCGGGCACACTCACAGAACCTGTGAAATACAACAGCATTAATCTTCCCTGTCTGAGATGAAAGTTTAACAATACTGCGAATCCCAGCATTCTTAAACCACATTGTTAAAACATTAGAGTTACATGGGGGTGGCTTAGATTTTTTTTTTGAGCTCATGAATTTATTTCCTAACTGGGGAAGCCATTTCCCTGCAGAGCATGCTAATGCTGTTTCAAGGAGAAGTTACACGGAAAGGATGCTTTATTGTTATTTGGTTTTTAAAATCAGTCAGGTGTTATGGGCATGTAAGAAGTATGACCTGAAATCAGGATCTATTTTAGTACCTCATGTACTTCAAAGGGCTCCGTGACCTTGGATGTCCAACAAATTTACACCCACATGCATGTACATACAATTACATGAATGCATATCCTGGGCAAGGTTGAAGTCTCACACTGATTACATACCATTGCAACTTTTTTGATGAACCTTCCTGCAGGTGGCGCTGTTGAGCCCCGGTCCAGGGGGTTGTCAAGCACAGACATAATGTTTCTCCCTGGTAAATGGAGTGCTGCTCTTTTCCAGCAGGCTTGATTGTCTGTGGCACACACAGGGAAACCCAATACGGGAACATGTGTTTCTGTCCTCTCTGGTTTTGAAGTGCGCAACACACAGAAGGCAGGGCGACGCAAGGGTTTCAGAGCGTTCAGCAGTAGCCCGGGCAGAGCCGACAAGGTCAGAGAAGGAAAGGAAGGTGAAACATCTGGGTCAAGTCCATGACATCACCTAGAACACTTTGCTAAATGCACCACTGCTACATCAAGGGCTAGAAGTCATAGGTCAATGTTGTCAAGCTCAGAGGAGAACAAGAATTGACTACTGGTCTTTGAGTTCACAACCCCTAAACTGTTCTGTTCTGAACAGTCTGAAATTCAATTTACTGTTTAAGCTAAAAAGGTTCGACTATTCTACACCATAAGATTTTTCTTCCCCAGCATATTTTCTCTTCATTACTTCCTAATTAAATTCCATAAAAAATATATTTTTGAAAACCATTGCTTCCTTTTCACGCTTTGAGTCCGTCCCAGGTGGGAAACGCCTAGGGGTGTCATAGGCACATGGGCACAAAAATCTGAGGGGGGAAATGATGGGAGGCAGGACTGGGGGAGAAAAAAATTTGAGACACCTCATAAAGCAAGCGACCCAAAAACGAACAGCCGCAGAACCAAAACACTAACACATATGATCCCACTACTGCCCCCACCTGGCACCTCGTGTTGTATCAGAACAGCATGGGTGTCTTGGGAAACGCAGCACTCATCCAAACCCTGCTGGTCACACCCAGGCCTCTGCCGGCTCGCAGCTCCGGCATGCCGGACGCCGGAACGACACGGGGCATTTCTCGTGTTAAACATGGATCGTTGAGCTTGACAGCTTCTGGAAGGCAGTGGAGAGGGCCCTCTCACTTCCCGTACACCAAGTACCAGACAGCTCACTTCGGAGATGCCGTGTTACATTGCCACCCTGGATCCCAATTAAACAAGGGTGCGAACCTCACAGAAAGTCCAAGAACTTCCCCGCCGGCCACAAGCGCCTTCCCCCGACCTTCCCGAATCACGGCTCTCCCACTGCCCGCAAAAGCCAATCCTTCTGCCATCAAAGTCAACTGCGTGGAAAGAGGAAATCTGAAGGTTTCTTGACCCGTTTGGCTCAAAGTTTGTTTTGGAATATCATCAAGCAGCTTGGGAAAGTCACCCCACCCCACTGCACCCGAAACCACACCCCCGTGGGCAACTCGAGACTTCTCCAGATTCCTGCTGCTATTGTTCTGAAGGGCCAAAAGACATCTGAATTAGCAATTTGGGTAATGCTCAGACCTAGCCATTTAATTGACGCAAATGGTCAACATCCTGGGATGGGGGAGGAGGGGAAGTGCTCAGGCCTTTTCCTCAGTGAAGATCCACACACATGCTAATGGCATCTCTGCTAATTACTGGTGAATGGAAAAAAAATATTATTCCATGCTTACGTACCAGTAAGAGAGGCAGATCAAAGGCTGAGTCTGCACATGTGAGACATGGAGAAGTCCACTCATCAGAAGGTGCTACTTGTTTACACAGATGGAGACTACACCTATGGGGCAAGGTTGCCCAGCAATTAGCCTATCACCAACTGAGGCCCACTTTCACTCCAACGGAGAACGTTATGCTATAAGACGGAACCCCAACGGAGGCCTGGCTTTAGTGTGAACTTCTAAAGGTTTGGATCTCACAACAGGACGTGGTGAAATCATACAAAAACATACAGTATGAGAGATACCAGATATACATAAATACGTATTTAACCATTATGCCATCATGACAATGAAGAAAATAACAATGTTGACCCACAGACTGAGGTATAACATGTTTAATGTATAGAAAAGAAATTTGTGTTTCCTCAGGAGGTGAATCTGATTTCTATTAACAGTCTTCATATAATATTTATTTTTTTATGCATCACTGGAAAACTTAAAACAATGCAAAAATTACTTGATGACTTCTCTGGGAGAAAAGTATGCAGGAGTAGATGTGAGAGGGACACAGCATCAGCAGGAATCCTGTGAAAACAAACCACTTTGCAATGCCAGCCTCCAGTGTAATGAGTGGCAGTGCGGAATGTTATGTGCTCAGTACCGGCTGAAGGCCATGCAGCACCCTAGACAAGCTTCATTGCCAGTGCCCCTTGTCCGAGACACGTATATACATCAGACCTCCACACATATATCCAGCCTCCCCTCAGGTACACATACAGTACACCACAAATATTCATGCATTTATACCTCATACATCCATACATACACCCAGCCTCCACTCAGGTACACATAAACCACACATATTAATTCATTTATACCTCATACATCCATACATACACCCAGCCCCCACTCAGGTACACATAAACCACACATATTAATGCATTTACACCTCATGCAATCTCACATATACCCAGCCTCCTCTCAGGTACACATACACCACACATATTCACGCTTTTACACTGCATACATGGACACATATAGCCAGTCTCCACTCGGGTACACATACACCACAAATATTAATCCAATTAAACCTGAAACATGCACACATATAACCAGCTTCCTCTCAGGTTCACAAAGACCACATATATTCATGTAGACGTTCCTCGGTTTAGGATGGTTCGACTTATATTTCGTCTTTATGATGGGGTGACAACAACACACATTCAGTAGTCAAACTTTGAATTTTGATTTGTTCCTGGGCAAGTGATATGGCATACGATATTTTCTACCGATGCCAGATGATGTCAATATCCACGCAGTCACACTTCCAGTTTCTGTAGCGATCGCCAGAATAAACAGTGTTAGACAACACATCGTATGGTGTTTTTCCATTTAAACAAATAAACTAAAATTAATAAATTTATTTAATTTTCAACGATTGGTATTTAGTTAGCGGCAGTAATTATTTACTTATTCAGTGACAGTATTTATCATATTATATTCATATTTGATATTTTCCACTCAAGATTAGGCTACGTTCCAGTGATTCCATCGTAAGTCGAGGAGCACGTACACATATACTCAGCCTCTTAGGCACACACACACCACTTACAGTCACACGGACTCTTCACAGTGTCACCTCAGCACACTAAAAACAGTCAAGCCATTGGGGAGGAGAGTGAGCCGGAGGAAAGGCAGAGAAAGCTGACAAAAACTCGATAGAAAAAAGAACAACAAAAAAAAAAGACCCCAAATACCCGGCAACCTTTTTATTTATATATATATATATATATATATATATATATATATATATAAATATATAAATTTAAAAAAAAACACGGACCTTGTTAAGTTGGAAGTGGCTATTTTGTAGTCCTTTTGGTTGTAAATCTGGAAATGCTTACAAGTCCCTGTTAGGTTCCTTGTTTTAGACTCATTTTATGAGAATAAATGAGACTACACTCCACCCTAATTACACAAGATTGAGAACATTTCTTGTAACGGAGAGCCAAAGTCTGGTAGTTTTAATGGCAAACTGTTATGTTGGGCACCTTCAGGAGAAGGTCGGACAGTTTAAAATAGCTCCTAAATGACACACAGAGAGCTTGAAAGAAAAAAAAAAAAAGCTCATCACGCCGTGCCTGGAGTGCAGCAGAGTCCTGAATATCATGTCTGGCGCTAATACCACGTCTATCCATTGTGTCTCAATTAAAAAAAAACACAAACAAGAAAGAGGCATATAAAAATGTACGCAAAAGAGCAGAGGATATTAAAATATATTAATTTATCTTAAATAAAAATTATACCTGCGCCCCGTGAAAGTTTGAAAGCTCAACAGTCTTTACCGGCAACGGTACCACTGAAAGCAGAGGAGCGTGTGACATTTCACGTACATGTAAACCTTCCCACCGAAACCGAAAAAAATATATATCTGTATATCCCTATTTAAAGCACGCTAGGCTCTTTCTGGCACAGCACTGGTTGGCAGTCACACCGAGTGGGCGACTTGCGGCCACAGTCTATGCATACCCAGGGCACCGTGTGTTTTCACCAAAGTAATACCGCGGGCCGGGCACCACACCGGCGGTAAGGTAAGCGCGGCGTCCTGCAGCAGTACAGAAGTGGAAAATTACATCATCTTCCTTCGAACACCTCGCTAACTACCGAAGGGACAGTCTCTAACCAAGCGCTTTCTCGCTCTCTCTTCTTCCTCCTGTCGTTCCCACCACATTTCCGTCTCTGTTTCAGGAGTGCGTCCAGCTTACAGGAACCCAGTGCGTTTCTGTCTCCAGCTTCTTGAGCGCCCCATTTAGGTCACTGAATGCCGACGTCAGGTCGTCGTTGACTATGACTTTGTCGAAGAGGTAGCCGTACTGGGCCTCCATCACCCGGGAGGTGTTGATCATCTCCAAGAAGTCTTCCTCCTGGGCCAGTGGGGGAACAAACGAACAAACAGATAAATAAAAGGGGACGGGGGGGGGTGGGGGCAAACGAGCCAAATTAAACTCCACTTATGCCGGGAGCCCACATGTGTGTCCACACCCACTCGCAGACCACTTCCAAACCATCTTCCACGCAAAGAACCAAACCTCAAGGAATTTTCATGATTTCCTCTGAAAGCTTGCGAGCCTTAAAGGCCATTTTCTTTTTTTAACGCGAGATATTTTTGAAAAGAAAATACCAAGTAAGGACCCTCTCTTTTGTCGCCGGAGCGCTAACTGACCAATGCAGTCGGGGCTGCAGTCTGCAGTCTCAATCTTGACGTGGGCCGGATTTAGCGAACTCTTAGGAGCTAGTTAGCCCACGGTGCACATGCACATGCATAATTCTAATACTGCAGAGATCCCAAGACAATCTAATTACCCTGTCACATTTCATCACAACAACGGAGAACCTTGGCACAGATCCTCAGTAAGAAATAGCGTTACTCAAATAAATGCTGAAAGGAAAACAGACTCAGTTTAGGTTAAGACTCAGTTTTCAGTTGAGATTTACAGCATTACACTGCTTCTAAATATCTTTAACTCCTCTGGTATCAGGGAACCTCCATCACCCTGAACAGATGTTCAGTTGGCACCACAGACTACACCCTTAGGAATCATGGAATGGTTGATGAGTTTACAGCTTTGGGTGACTCCAATTTGGAGGGAAACTCAGAATTTATCCCACTCAGCATCCCTGGCTAGAGAGAGCCACACAATACAGGTGTCACCAAACACCCAAACACTCGCCAATGCACAGGTCTGGATCTAGCAATAGGTCTTTCGGAATCACAGCATTTTCCAGAGGAACCTTCACGTGAAGCCAGAATGGGCCTCGTCATTTTGGTAGCTTCCTCTCCCTTATATGTTTATCCCTAAAATCAAAAACGGCAAGAACTCACCACAAAGCAAAAGAGATTCCTTTAAAATTAGCCATGTGACAACATTCACCACGAGCGGGGACTTCCCTGCCTGGCACTCGCCCGCTTAAAACGCCATCCAGCGCTTTTACGGCGCTCAAAGCATCCGTGGCCTACGGAGGGAGGGACTTGACCATTTTATCATTCATGTTTCCGAGCTGAGAGAGAGAGAGTGAGAAACGCCTTTTGGCCAGAGTGGAATGGACCTGACATGCTGTCAAAAGCAACCCACATCGTTCCCAGCTTCGGTCCATTGTGACCAACGGTCTGACTCAGAGGTCAATGTCGGTTGTACACTTTCTGACCAGATTCGTACAGTTCAGGAACAAGCACAAAAGGCAGCTTTTGAAATTGAAATCTGTTTCTCTGGGGCACCCAGAGTCCACTCCTAATTGGAACTGCCTGACATCAGTCAGGGACAGAGGCAGTACAGCGGTCTGTCTGTCCCGCAATGGAAAATAAGCTTTTATGGATTCAAATAAACTACACCTGTTCATTTCCAGCTAGATGAATGGCAAGAGTTCAGGGAGACCTCCAGAAGTTAGTGGAGCCTTCCTGATAAAGAGAACTACTTCTGGAAAATAGATTAATTTATAATAGCCAGTGACTTACTGTTCTTGGTCTGCAGTTTGGAGTTATTTTACAGAATTAAATCAAAATTATTCTTGTACCATTTCTGAACTTCCTGTGACTAAAATAATGATACGAGAATATATGTGCATTTGATGTGAAGCGAACCGTCACATTATATTAAGTAAATCCAAAGCCGAACATCATAATGAAAGCTATACTAAGGCTAAAATAATGCAACGTAGCAACCGGCCTGTTTAAGCTATGAAAATATTTAGGTATGATCTCTTGTATCTATAGATGATTTTTTTTGTATTGTAAAAACAGATCTACGACGGGGCGGAAATACAGTGGGTTAGGGATAAAATATGTCTGTTATTTTACAAAACAGGGGCCTTTTTTCAGACAGTTAATAGCCTGAATCTGATCACTTAAAATGCTGTCGGTGTCCATACGCTTCGTCCCGTGGGAAATGTGAACTGGCATCTGAAGAACATTCACACCGACTTCGGACTACAGAAAGACAGCAGAGTGCAGTAGAAGATGCCGGCCGTCACATGTTTACGTGGTCCAAACCCGCCCCAGGAAACATATCCCCGTCACGACTATGCGGGAGCACACGGGACACAGACGTTAATGTCTGTGTCGTCACTCGTCTTTAGGGCCAGCGAAACTCCAAAGCTTGTTTCCCAGGACAAAACTTAACTCATGGTTCATAAAAACACTGGCTGTGATTCTTACAGAATGGATACCGCAGTCACTCTCACAAGATAAACAATTTAAATAATGGCGAATGAGACCATTACATTTACATTTTATTTATATGGTAAATGCTTTTATGCAAAGCAATGCAAAACTGGGGGTTAAAGGCCTTTGCTCAGAGGTCCAATGGGGAAACTGCTCTACTAACTGTGGGATTTGAACCAGTATCCTAACCTGCTGAACCACACACTGTCCCCTAAAGATTCAAGCAGCAATAATAATTCTTCTCAGACTGGAACAGTAGTTCTCAGAGACATTTAAAGGAGAGTGATGTGCTTATTAAATATGCAAATACTGCCCTAATTAGTTGAGTGGGGAACATGGGCTAAGCGTGAAAATAAGTCACCAACAGTCAGAATTGAAATAAAAGTGATATTTTAGTAAACACACTGTCCAGGGGTGAGGACAAATTCAGAATTCAAGGCACCATCAGAGTGTCCTACTGCAGAATGAATGACGGTGCATTATTAAATATACAGCAATACCACCATCACCTCAAGTTAGCCAAAGGTGGCTGGAGAAGGTGGAAACTCGGGCAATTCTTGGATTTATTTTAAACCGGTGGGGCATAAGAGGGGCCAAAAGTATGGGCCAATCATCAGCCAATGGTATGATTTGAATCGGTGATTGACAGGGAAGGAGGCACTCCAGGGGCCAATCAGCTTTCACCTGGGAACAGTGTCCCGGTGGAAACTACTTGCATGCGCAATGAGAGACAAAGCCCAGATCATAGTGCTCCAAGATTACATGAATTTGGGAATTTGTGATGGGGGGCACACCTACAACTCACTTTGCTGGGGGGGGGTCTCTCAATATACAATGACCTTTACAGCAGGTTATGCATGGGACGTCTCCGGCATGACAGCTGGATTGGACCCCGCCATGCTGTTTCCAGAACCCTGGCGGAGCATCAACAGTCCTGGATCACCCCCCAACCCAGACTGGAAAAGCCATCAGCACACAAAGCAAACAGGACCGTTGTGCCTAATCGGTTTCATGTGACTTTGCAAGGTGTGCCGATGACCTCACCCGTACCTTCATAGTGACTCATTTTCTTTTAGTCGAGGTATGTTGGCATGTGGGGTACAAATTGGGGGGAGGGGTAAAATTCTAATGATCAGAAGTATGACTCTGATGCCCTTAAACCCAGAAGCTACCCCCCCAAAAAAATAGAAGTTACCGAAAACGGCTTCGCCAGACACTTGTCGTCCTTGCCAGAGATGACCTTGGCGTCCCTCCGCGTCTCCCTCAAGCGCTCAATGGTGGGCGGCTTCACAAACACCACGTAGGGTTTGAACTCGGCCGTCCGCAGGTGCTTTATCGTCTGAAACAGTCAAAGAGGACAGGAGAACTCAGTCAGGAGGCAGCGGGAGGCATACCTAATACCTCACTGTGACTCATGTTCTGGAACTGGGGGGAATCCTCCCGGAACCTCGATTATGAAGGCATGTAACTCGCCGTGACCAATAATTGAGGTTCCTAGAGGAACGACGTGCCGAGAACGCCAAGGAAAGGGAAAACCGGGAAGAGCCTGATCCTTTAACCTCATGGCTCTTTCTCTGGGACAGCAAGACAGAGGCAGCCATGCTGTCAGAGAGGCAGGAAAGCACTCAGTTCAAGGGCCCAGAAAGTGAGGTGACACAGGGACCGCACGAAACATGTGGCTGACAGCTCCACTCCGGCCTGGAATTTCCTTGATCTGGCCGGAGTGGGATTCTGAAATGGGCGAGTAATCCATTCAATAGCACGGGCCCTGTGTCGTTATGCTTGCGGAGAAAAAGATGAAAAATATCACCATAAAAACAGCCCAAGGACATGGGGGAAGGGGGTGGCGACGTTCCTAGGGCCACGATGATGTCATGCTCATGCCTGAGCTTCTGGGTCTAAACCCAGCATGAATGACGGGCCAGTGTGTGAGTGGGTGGGGGGGGGGGGGTTGCACTGCCACCCAGATGCTGAGAAGCCAGAAAGGAAACCTTCAAATGAGGCCAATTAGGCGTAATTGTTCCCAAAATGCTCCCCAAAGCCTAATCCACTAATGGAAGTGTCGGTCAGCAAGATGAGGAGAAGCATCGCCTGCGACTGTGGAGCGTGAACTCAGCAGCCGGAGGTGTGGAACTCCAGCCCAGGGTTTCCGAGATCGTGCTGGACCTACGCTGAGCCTGCGGGCTCACATGGGGCAGGACGAGCAGCCAGAGGGACAGTCACTCACGAGATCGTGCTGGACCTACGCTTAGCCTGTGGGCTCACATGGGGCAGGACGAGCAGCCAGAGGGACAGTCACTCACGAGATCGTGCTGGACCTACGCTTAGCCTGCGGGCTCACATGGGGCAGGACGAGCAGCCAGAGGGACAGTCACTCACGTGCGGCTGTACGTCCAGCAGACAGACTTTGTTCTTGGACAGCACCGAGCGCACCGAGTCCAGGCTTGTCCCATAGTAGTTGCCACGGTACTCCCCATGTTCGACGAACCTGTGGGGACGAGGCAGAGATAGAGCGCCCCATTCAGGATGAGGGCAGAATGCAGGGTACACAAAACGGTTGCGGCTTGGGCTGGAGCGAACAAGCAAACAGAACCTAGTCAGAACTTCCAACACATGTTTAGCCACCTAAACTTTTTGTACTTTGAAGGCTCTACATATCTATTAAGAAGGAAGAGTAAAGTACATCTAATGTGCCAGAAAAAAAGGTATTACTCCTTATAGGTCCTAATATGCTACTACAAATAACCGAATTAAAGGGGGGAAAAAATGTAATTCTGTGGGCATCAAAGAGGCTACTATTTCAACCACTGAATAAGCTGTAGCATGCGTCAGTACAACACTATTCCAGACATTCTGGCACGGGCGCATTTTATATAATCATCTATGTTACACATTAAATCAGTAACACCTGTTTGTTAAAAAAGTGGAAAAAAAACTCTAAAAGCGAACTTCACCTAATCCAGGTTTTGCGAGCGGGCTAAACCAAACAAACATTTTTCCATCACATAATACCCCTTATTCCCCATTGATGAGAGCAATAAAATACCGACATATATTTTTGGTTAGTGGAGAAATGAAAGAGCAAAGGAAAGAATGTGTAAATAAGCAGTCACAAGATTGGGGGGGGGGCAGGTGTACATGTAAATCTCAATGCTGAAAAGCAAGGGATACACCCAGGAAGTCAGGAAAAGAGGCAGACATATAAAGGAAAGAAAATCCCTTTTTTTCCCGGTCAAATCCTCAATCTGCTCAATCCAAAAAATTAGAGAGAAAGATCATATGCATATAAAAGATGCTACTGTACAACAAAATTGACTTAAGATGAAAAATTGATGCGGGATAAACTAGAAGGCCTAGTGAAATTCCAGCCCTGCACCAAGGCTTTTAGAGAGTTTTAAGTCCAGAATTCCTCCAGAAAGGAATTCGAGTTTAGCAAAGTGTGATCATCTCTGGCCCTTCTGAGGAGATCTCCCCCTGCTGGCAGAGCCGAGGGGCGCGCTGTCCCGCAAACATGCAGCGGAGCAAAACGAAAAAACAACCAGGCCCAGAAGTGCGCCTTGTAATTTCGGCCGTTTTTCTCGTCTCAGTCGTCCTCACCGCAATGCACCAGCACCCGAGTTCACCTCTCACGGTCCCGAGCTTTGCATGCAGCGCGGGACCACAGGGCCAAAAATACAACCCCCTTCCCATGCACTCTCACTTCCTGTTGTTGAGAATTAAAAAACAAAAAACTTCCACTATTTCATCATAACCATTTCAAAGCTCCTTTTCGTTACCCCGGCTTTCAGCCCCGCCCTCGGGCAAAATACCCCACCTCCCTTTTAGCAAGACCTTAGTTCATTGGTCCATCATACACCCATAAAAAAAACCCACCCCCTGCCAATTGCAATGCCCAGTTAGCGCACCAGAAGGCATCATCCACCCATTCGCCACCCACGGGGAGGCCCCTTACTTGTTGTTCTGGACGTCGGTCTCGAACAGGTGCTTGGAGATGAAGTGGTACTCCACCCCTTCGCTCTCCTGGCTCCTCTTCACACGGGTGGTGTCTGTTTCAGAGGATCAGTGATGGGCTCAGTCTCACCTGCCCAGAAAAACTCCAGGCAGAGATAAACCTGACACACCGGTTCCATCAATGGTCATTAGGAGGAATGACATCAACTCAGTGCCTTCTGAAAGCAGGATTATCCCTCTGTGGTTCCCATGGCAGACAAATCACAACACATCTCCAAAGCATCACAGAACCCTTTCCACTGGTTCACTGTCACCTCCTTGGTTCTGACCTGACTTTCACCCCCCTGCACTACACCAAATGCCATGACTCACTTCGAAGCACAAGAACTCCAGAAATGTGTCTCAAACAGACGTACTCACGAGCGACTAGACCAGAAAACACACCAGCCATAGTAACTGACTACTGGATCAGGAGATTTATGCCTGTGAGCAGGCAGATGTTTTGGGGCCACAAAACAAAACAGTTTCCCTACAGAAACACATCAAAAATCTAAAATTACAGCCATACTATTCAAGATCTTTCTCCTGTTACTAAAGAAATTATATCCATATTATTCAAAACCTTTATCGCTAAAGACTCTCCATGATATTTCTGAAAAAAAGATGTGGCAAATAACTCCAGTAAGGGTTAAAACTTTGTGCCAGTAAGGATTTAAAGGGGACACATTCTCATTCTGATAGTAATTAAAAATGAGAAAGTAATTATGCAGGCCCCTCCCATTCAAGTGGGATACTCCCCACCTAATTTGGAGGTTAAATGCATGCCGTACCCTATAACTGAAAAGCAAGGCACGCGTCACATTTGCAAACGATTAACGCACATTAAGCCAAATATTGAGATGGGATTATAATGGGAATGACATTTCGAGCATCAGGCATCCAAACTGGCCTCGCATAATTAATTCTTCACAATCCTTTAGCCTTTTCTTTTTTTGGGTAATGGCGCCCTCGCTCTGGTACCTCGTTACAACATAAATCAAGCTAATTAGCTCGTACTAAAAGCGCACACGCTTTGGGGGCTGCCAGCGCTTCACCCGCGGGCCCATAATTCCCCGGTTCTTTTTGGCGATGGGTTCGACTCAGCGGCCCATTTAGACCCGGTCTGGCGGTACAACAAGCCGCCGCTGGGGTCCTTTGCTGGGGAGTTGGAGGGCTGTGTTGATGCCAGGGTGTGAGGCACAGTGACGGGGGGGTGGGGTGGTTGAGGGGGTAGGAAAATACATGTCCCCCCTTCTGCCATCCTTGGATTTATAGGCAAAGCCCCTAACCCAACTGAAGAAAAATCTCTGCATCACATAATGGCACACCCCCCACCCCCTAAATGCAAAGATCATAAACCCACCCACCTACACACTACTCTTACGTTCTATGTACAACCATCTGGCGGTTCTGTGTGTGTGTGTGTGTGTGTGTGTGTGTGCGGGGGATCCTTCTCCTAATTAATGCCAAGTTTCATTTTCAGTCATCCTGTTTCTTTTGTTGGGGGCTTCTCGAGATGGACGGTCCTTGAAGAGGATGATAAGGCCCCAGTATGAAGCAGTGAAGGATGAATGCGTACGACAAAGCAAGTGGCTCTTTTACTCATTACGCATGGGCCGCATGATGAAAAGACCAGTCGCTGATTTTTACTTTAAGAAGATATCTTGGCCATTTATTCATCTCCAGGGTACCAAGGAAGTAAGGAAATATCTTGTTTTGGTTCCTTAGTAAACCAGGACTGAGTTGGAAACCAAACTTGAAAACCCAGGGAAGTTAGAGAATGGGGAGGGTGACTAAGGTGACTTGGGTCACCCCCCCGTTCGTAGACTTACGGGGCACTGTCACACCAAAGTGCTGGGGATCAGAGATCAGCAGTTTCCTCTTCAGCTCATTCAGACCGACCCCTGTGGGACCTGAGGGGACAGAGAGCAAGGAGACGTGGCCAAATGTTTATAGTTCCTAGTGACCGAACAAACAAAGAAGGAAGCAAGCAAGCAAACAAACAAAACAAAACAGCATCCTGTGGGGGTGGTGTGTGGCTCAGAGGGTTCGGACGCTGTGTCTGTAATGGGAAGGTTGCCTGTTCAAATCCCAGGGTTGGCAGAGTGATTTTGCTGATTGGCCCCTGGGCAAGGCCCTTAACTCTTAATTGCTCCATGGACTGGCTGACTGTACATTCACAAAAACGAATGCCACTTTGGATAAAAGGGCATGATAAATAAATAAAATGTAAATAATGTAAATGCACTTCAAAGCAGCAGAACAAAGGCCCCACAAAGGTGCCAGGGCACACAGGGCCCTCATGGGGGGCACCCCCCCCCACACCCTGACTCTGGTGTGAATATAGCCCCACACCTTTCCTGGAAGCCTTCATAATCCCACATGCACATTACTGCAAACACTGCTGTCCAAGAAGCGGTGGAAATGTCTTAAAAAAAAAAAAGCAGGTCAGTATCAGACAAGCTCCGTTCCTTGACTGTTCAAAAGACGCAGCTTGAAAACTCGACAACCCCCCCCCCCCCCCCCACATCCCAGAGGGCAGCTGTGTTTTCCATCACTGCCACTAAAAGAACGAGTAATGCAATATTGATTCGTCTGCGGCTCCAGAGCACGGCGGAATTTCCAAAACACGAACCCTGGCACCCTTACATGTGACCTTTGCACTCCAGACAGCCATATTGTTTTACGAAGGACAGAAACCCATCTGACATCCATCAACAGTGCCCGATGCCTCCATCTTTAAAGGGTGAAGAGCCGGATGGATGGTTCAGTATGACTACACAACATGCTTGCTCCTTGTGCTCACGATACCCTGAAGGAACAGGCTACGTCTCTATATTAAGGGGAATCTGTGAAGAATAAGCTAAAGAAGCCCCAAAACCAGTGTTTTACTGGTATTCCCAAACCCCTCCACATTGGTGTCACTGGTCTAACTGGGTGGGGGGCATGACTTGTCCTTTTCTCCACGGGAATGGTTTATTTGTTGCAATCAAACAAACAACCCCCCCCCCCCATACTATTTCTCCAGCTCCTAACTCCTCTGTCGTAAATTACTGGGCAATCTATACCAGGCAGATTTATTGATTTTTCCATAATAAAACTGACCAATGGCGGCAGCTCTGGCTCGCAAATTGAGCCCGGCTTTTCAGAAGCTGAGCGTGTCAACGTGAAGACGGTAAATTAATCAAGAAGGGGAGGGGGGGGAGAAAAAAAAAAAAAAAAACTTTCTGCGAGACCTAAATATGATTTATTAAGATGAGGAAACGGAGTTGATTTCGGATCTGTGATAAAAGACAACGAGGAATTTGCGTCGAGCTTCGAGGAAGGGAAGGGAAATGAGATTCCTTGTGTGCTTTAGTTGCAACTAAAGGATAGGTGCTGATATCACTGGGGATTTCTTAAAGCTCCCTTAGTGCCTATCGAGCATCCATGATACAAAATTAGATTGAAATTGTGGCCCGAACTACTGTTAACAAATAAGCAAGCCGTGACGATTGATGGACAAGGTCAGGATCCAGGCAACGTCGCTCGGCCCCGGTTCTGCTGTCCCTCACTCAAAAGCAGCTGCTAACGCTCTAAAATCTTGAACACCAATGAAAACGTTTTTCCACAATTCCCTAATTACGCTTCTTATTGTGCGATGTTTTCTGTCCCACTCTTCTGACCCTACAGGAATTTAATACCGTGCTCATGAGTCCCTGAATTAAACCGGCACCTGTAAAAACGTCAGACCGCATTAGCACCCTCATTAGGGAAACAGCCTCCAACACTCTGACTTAACAGCTTCCCAGCTAAACGGTGACCAGATCAATCGCCACCACCGCCTCTGAGGACCAATAAAGGAAGTGCAGCCTCCCCACCCACAAACATGTGCCGGCATCAGGTTCTACATTTGGAATTGGTCTGGTCAAGGCCAAACCATAACCATGCTCAAGCCAAAGCCACCCCGCATGCTATAAGAGTGAGTTTAGAGTATTTGAGACAGGTGCACATACATCAATACTCTGATATATACCGATTACTTAAACAAGACGATCAGCTACTTCAAATCATTCCTCTCGACAATAACATTCTAATTCTAGAAAAAATCTTGAAATTCAAATAGAAGGTGTAGTGAGATTCTGGAGGGTATCACACCACCCATCTTGATGAACGTACACCCTACAGTAAACAGAGGAGAGGTACAACGACTGACCCGAAGAGGAGGGCAAGAGGCCAAGTTAGACAGAGAACACCCAGGCAAGCTGGGACGAAGGGCTGACCACAGCACCTTTCACCCTGACCTGTTTGTTACCTGGCCATTAAAAACAGGCTCTCAAACCAAAACTGGCTCTATGGACAGCGAAGCAGGGGACAGAAAAACATTAAACAGATCATTCCTCGCCTCTCCACTTCACTGCGTCTGAAAGAAACCCAAGGAATCCCCCAAACTGTACAATTTAGCCAAGTGTATTTACATTAGGGTGACAGGAGTCCCTGTGGGAGGGACATCCCTTTCTCAGCCTGACATGCTGGCAGGAAAATGTGTAAATTAAATGCTCCAAACGACAAACAGTGTATGACGAAGTCCATGAGCTACTGGAGACTAGCAAGGGAACCTAGTGGAGAAATAACATCTCCACACATGCCCGAACTCTCTGACTTTTCATCTTATTTCACTTCATGTTAATTTTTCAAATATATGGTATTCAACATACTTTTATAGTACTAATGATATTAATTTCAGGAAGGTAGGCGAGTAGGTGGTATTTGTGGTATAGAATGCCTAGGGTTCGCTTATTTTCGCCGTAACGTTATGTCGGCTTTTGAAGGATTTAACTGGTAAGTAAAAATAGCTTCGGCTCCTTGCAGCATCACCAGGATTCTTCTCAAATAATTAAATCTAACACATATTCCAACTCATGACAACAAAAAAAACATCTATGTTTAAAAGCAAATGCTACAAAGTATTTCCAGCTGCACTGAGCTTCGGAATGAGCTGTACAACTTCATTTGGAAAAACAAACATAGGTATAACGGTAAGAAAACAACAAAGCTTTGAGCCTCCAGGCCAAGCTCTGATTCTATCAAGATCCCTGCTGGCAGAGACAGGGCTGGTGATCTTACCATGCTGATCTTCACAGCTTAGCAAAAGGAGGAAATGTGGTGGGGTTCCCCAAGGACCCATACTGGGTCCATAATTGACACTCACCGACAAGAACTACCAGCCTGTGCTGGCCACTGGGCGGGCGGCAGTAGGTAGTGACTTCCTCGTAGGTGGGTACGTCAGCCGTGTCATACTGGTCACTCTTTTTACACTCGTACATAGACTTGTTGGTCTTGCGGTCCTTCCTGCTCAGGCGGAAGCTTCGTCGAAGGCTGGCTGCAAAAATGAGGGAGACTTCAGCACCGGCAGATTTAATGTAATGCTTGTTGACAACTTTCACCGAGCAAGTAATGATATACGTTTAAGACCAGTCCATTTTTAATATATTCTCAACAATATAAAAAAGGTCATTACATAATCCCTCAAATGATTATGACTATTTATGTCATGAATCTGTAATATATCCATCCAACTGACATAATTTGTACACCGCGTAGCTGTCCCAAGTTCTACTCTAAGCCTACTGGCTTTGCTTTGGTCCAGTACAAATTAGAGAAAAGGTTTCATTTAAGCATTAAAATTCCCTGCTACATGGATGTACCACCAAAGACTCTGGCTAAATGGCTTCACTGTGATTCCTTTTTCCTTTCAAAAAGGTTCTTTCTGTAGAAAGAGTGTCCATTTGACTGAGAGTGAACATTTAGCCATTTGTTTGGGCTGATTAGCGATTCCTTTCATGCCCGATAGCTGTTCAGGACGAACCCCTCTTTTTCAGCAAAAAAAAGGGAAAAAAAAACCAGGAACCTAGTTTAAATGATAAGTAGGAGTATTAAAAGGAGCCATGTCATTCAAAGACTGCAGCTTCATACCCAGGACAGATGCGACTTAAAACGAAAATCCAAAACGCCTCATTATCCACAAAGAGCATGAGGAGGCAGGGCTTTTCCTACAGTGATTAACGAACTCGGGAATATGACGCGAGATGCCTATGCAAGATTAAGGCAGTATGAAAATCAGGGGCTGGAAGGAATTGGACCATCTCAATATTTTCCACGACACGGGGAAACCGCCAGCAGTGTGCAGATGGCCGACAAGGCATAACTAATGAATCTGAAAGAAACCACCACCACCCCCCCACCATGACCAAGGAGTAGCATTTAGCCCAGATGCTGCGGACATGGGCTTACATACAGGAGGATGTAGGCTTGAGTCCCACCAAACCCTGCAGGAGTATCCCTGGAGAAAGTGACTCACCCAGCCAATTGTAAGTCAGTCTAGATAAAAGCAATAGCCAAGGCAACTAAAGTTGTTATATGAATAGCTATAACCACAATAATAATAATAATGATAATAATAATAACAATAATAACAACAACAACATAATTCCCATTGTGGCTTTACTTAGCCAGACATGCAGCTCAGACATCCTGATTCTGAAGGCAATTGCATCACATCATTGGACTGAAACGGATAGCATCATGCAAGGTCCATAATGGGCTTTTTCACGAAAACCGGACTTGATCTCTCTGTGACGGCATGACCTGGAAAACCTTAAATCGTTTGTAAACAGAAATGGGGGGAAAAAAAAACATGAAGACGGCAAGTCCACATAAACATTCCCAGAATAGAGGGCCCCCACTTGTCCGATTTGCATAAATCCGATAGGTTTACAAACTCAGAGGAACACGACATCGGCATCAGGGGTTCATTGACTATGTCAGGGTAAATCTCTTTGTTTTGCAAGTGGGACAGGTGTACGGGATTTCATTAACTCCTACCAGCTGCAAGCAGTCAATACAAATTGTTCTTCCCCAACTAAGGGTGGCTGGCTTGGGGGGGCTATATAATCTCATCCCTTCCGAATCACTTAAACACTTCCAGGCAGTTCCATCCAAATACAAAACCACCCCTCATGGGGCAAAAAAAGAAAGAAATCAAAGATACGGTTGGAAGCGATCTACAGCACTGATTGAGGCAAAATTAAACCGAGGGGTGAAAATTAATTCGATCCAGAATGAAATGACTCAACTTTTGGACTCGCCTTAGTCATGGAACTCATACGTCTGGGTACGAACCATTCAACAGAAGGCGGTGGGGAGGTGGGGGCAGTCTTCGGATGGCCTGTTAATAAAAGCCACACAGGTGTTGGATTAGGGAGAATCTGAGCTATGTGTGGTTCTGGTTTTGGGTCTACAGAGATAAACGAGGAGGAGGAACGAGGAGACGAAGAATGAGGAGGTCATGTGATAACAGGACAAAACAAGACCTCCTGCCTGGGGAATCTGTTCCCCCAGCCTTAACTGTCAGCCATTTTGAAGCAGCATCCATAAGAGGCTCAACCATCTCGGTAGAACTTCGGTAATTGAGGCGGCTGGCACAAGAGCCAAACAAGGTTCCTCAGGTGTCATGCGTGCCATCATCTTGTGGTTTCCAGGACCAATTTCCAGTGCATTCATGTCCAGCATCAACACGGAAGGCTGAGGATGTGATTGTGGAGGAGGGACTTCCCTTGGGCCTCCAGGAACCACAAATACCACCCACTCACCCACCTTCCTGTTTGCAAAGACTCATGAAGCACAGAGGCGCATGGGAAAACGAGCCGTGTGAGAACGATTAGGCCGGAAGCGCACAGATGCTCAACATGTTGAGAGGGGATGAGGGTGCATGCCTGGTGAGCAGACCAAGTACAGGGAAAGCCGTTGGCTTGGGCTGGATAGTACTAATGTGGAAACAGATGAATAAGACAACTGTAGTAGACCTGGTACAAGTGTCATTGGTTACAGACTGCAACAGACACCGACTTTCAAGGGGGTGAATACTGACAAGGATGTCATCCCTGAAGTTTAACAACACGAATGTGGTGTTTACCACCATTCAAACCATGCTCAAGTATGGAGCCCCCTTTTGGCTACAAACAGCCACTACAAACACAAAGTGATTTTTGAGTGTGGCCCCAGAAACAACAAACCGGCCCCTGCAGGACATATCAGGAGAGCTCGGCACACTTGCCTTGTGCGCGCTTAACGCTGCAACACTTCGTCTGCAATCATGCAGCTGCAAAATGTGGGACGCATTAAAACCTCCCCCATTACGCGTGCCAATTATATAATCCCTCGGCGGAGACTGAGATTACAAACAGAGGAGCGATTCCCCAAACTGTCAGCCGCACAACTCCAATGATTTTGTAGGATCAAGGAGAAAAACTTAAAAGCCACCAGTGCTGATCTCCCAAGCTTTGCTGTCCCTGTGTGCCTCCCTGAGAATAAGGGAATTAAATGATGGAATTAAAGGACGGCTGCCACATGTCTGCAGGGCGGCATGTGCTGATCCGGCCCCAGCTGTCCGTCTGTCTGTCTACCTGTGTCTATGTATCTGTGTGCGTGTTACACATACCCCTCTGGATCACTGAAGCCCTGACTGGACAAAAGCGGGGGGTGGTGACAGAGCCTCTTTGTGTGACCCCCATTTCTGTAGTACCACAACCAGCTTTCATTAAAAGGTCGTTCCTCGTGGTCTACGCACACTGCAATTCTGACAGGCAGCGAGTGGTCGGTACATCCATTGCTCATCAACCTCTGCTCCTTGAACTCTGGAGCTGTGCGACATCTGCAGGACAGCTTAAAGGGAAGGGGGGTGAGGGTGCAGGAGGGGCTTTAATGAGGTTCCTACCCCAGGCGCCCCGTCCGCCGTATGGCTGGTGATCGTATCCGGGGGGAAAGCTGCCCCAGGGCAGATCATTGTGCGGTGAGAGGCGTTTAACCAAACCCTCAGGACTGTGCTAGCTCTGCAATGCTTTATGGGTAACTCTGTTTCCGCCCAGGGGGGGCATATAAAGATCTGACGATTCCGTTTTTGTTTTTAATACTATTTTTTCCACCCTTCAGACAAGAGAAATTAAAGGCGATGTCACACTGGGGAGAGAGATCACAAATGTGCTTTAAGCTTGCAGGGGGGGCACTTTCTGAGAGATTTCTAGAAAGTGCGCTGTTGTGGAGAATGGCCCCCGTCTCGAACGGAATAGTATTCAGGCCGCCCGGACAAGACACGCCGGTTTTTTATCAAATGATGTTTGTTTTTCCGCTTCCCCCTCGTCCCCAAGCTCTTCAAGGCTCAGGAATGTCTAGCCTGAAAACTGCCAAATTCACAAGGTGGGGGGGGGGGGGGGGGCGGTGAACCCCCCCCCCACCGGTACAGGGAAGTGCGCCAGGGATCTCGGGGCTGGACGTAGTCCGTCTCAGCCATCGGCAGTCTATATGTTGCTTAACCAGTCGACTGATTTTCCTGTACATCCTCCCCCCCGCCCTGGGGTGGCACGTTGCTGGCAAAAATCCACACCTTCCCATGCCTTGCTCCTAAAAAAAAACATGCACACACACACAAACACACCCTAAAAGTAAATCATTCCCAACACCCTTGATGACAACGGTTTGTCACATCATGGTGAAAACACCTCTGTCACCGCTGGCGTCGTCGTGCGCCTTTGGCTCCAAGATAGTGCGCAGGTCTCGATAAATAAATACATGTAAATCTCACCCATATGGAGTCTGCATCAGCAAGGGTCACATCTAATCCTGTTAACAGAACCTAATTAAACAAAGAATTAACACACTGAGAGAAAAAGGCTGGAGAATAACGTAATGCGGTCAAGGCAGTGCAGCTTGAAATTTTATTTCCAAAACTCCTTTTTCAGGGATGGACACAATTTGTGGTGGGGAGGGGGGTGGCAACAAGAGACCTTTGGGGTAAACAAATGAACAAACGAGAAGCAAAACACAAACACGGCACCCGTCGGCAGTGTGCCGTGCCGGCGCTTGGCGCAGACAAACGGATGAGGCTCCGGTCTGGGTTACCGTCGTCGAGGCGAAAGCGGAACAATCCAAAATACACAAAAGCCAGGGCCAGCGCACAGGTGGAACGAATCAATACAAACAATCGCGGTCACCTGACCCGCAGTCCCGCGACTCGAGACAAAGTGGTGCCGATACCGCTGCCGTCAACAGCAACAAGGGCTCTGCAAATTGAAAACATTTCACCGTCTTGACAAAACAGATTACTTGACGAGCCCAAAAAAAGAGAAGAATTTTAACAAATCATTTTTACTCAGAAAACACTATTCCCACTATACTTAAATTTAAATTGTTTTACCAAAGAGCAGAAAGGTTGTCTAAAGCTAAATTATCCACAGTCACAACCTGGGGCCTGATTTAATAATCTGGCTTTGCACAAAAAACGACTTGTTTTTATTTTTTTTTTCCTCTCCCTTCACGTCTCCCCATTTTTCCATAACAACGTGCACCTAACTGGATTTAGGGCCTGATCCCTTTCCCAGGCTTATTCCCGGCTCTGGTTTTCCCAGTCTGTCATTCGGGTCGTTCGGGGAGGATTCTGCTCACCGAAAGAACCGTGGCGGCATGGCTCAGACTCCCGATCCGAGGCAGAAGGTCTAGGTACAGTCTGGATGCCAGCCCTCACTGCCCCCCACAGGCTGATTCTGCGACAGCAGCCTGATAAATCTCAGGAGCTGCTTCTTTTTACAACAATCCCACTGCAACCAGGGGTTTTTCATTCTCTGCTATACTCAGGATGTTTTAGAATGATCCAAACAAGGCATCTTAGGTCTACAGCTCTCCTCGGCACATCTGACACGTTGAAGACTACATCAGGGAAGAATCTGAGCAAGGTGGGGGGGTAGAGGGTGCAGGTAAATACTCCCAAATCCTCTCCCTAGAAGGCATTAAGAGGAGGAAAAAAACACGTAGAACATGGCCTGGCCAGCCGACCGCACGTTATGAGGACCTCTTGAGAGTGGCCTCGGTCTTCACCCATGCTGGGGCCATGGACAGTGGCCCAAGTGGAGCTGGCGGGTGAATGCATAGTACAACGCAAGGGCTTTCCGAGGGTTCGGTTTTTATGAGTTCTCCTGGGCCTGGAAGCCACAGGGGGCGCACTAATGAAGCTAGCCATTTTGTGGAGTCGGGGGCCAGCTTGGCCGGGAAAGAGAAACAGCGGAGGTCGGGGGGATTATGGGAGAGGGGTCACCATCCGGCCGCTGGCAGAGGTAATGGCTCTGCGTTTGAAGGCTGCCCCAACTCGACGACATCACACCAGACACTGGTGAAGAACTCAGAGTTTGCGCCGCAGGGGCGTGTGGATCGTGTGCAGGACTGTCGCCAGAAGCCAAGATACCGGGCAACCTATTAAAAACGGAGACGGTGACAAGTAGCTAGCGAGCACTGCTTGAAGCCGCTGATAACGTGAGGCTCTCTGGGAACGATGTCAGAAGCAAGCGGCTGGAAGACGGGGCTTGTGCCAGGTCCTCGAAGGGGGTGGATACAGATGTACCATCGGAGGGACAAAACAAAGGGAAACTGCCACGATTTTCGAAAGTGAAGTCATTGCAAAAGGGGCATCGTCTATGTTAAAACCAAAACTCTCCCCCCTTTGGGGTAATCTTCCCCGGATGATCAAAGCTCTGCACAAAGGGATGAGGGCAACAGACCATTAGAATCAACCAAGAAAACACATGTGAGCAGATCACTCATGAGACTCCCATATTTTTTATGACCCCAGCCATGTAGCCCAGTCATATTCTCAGCTTCCATCTGGTCAACTTGGCAATACTTACAGCACTGGCCTCTACCAGAAGGTTATAGGGTCAAATCCCCGGAGTGAGTCTGCTGTTGGACCCATGTGCGAGGTACTTAACCTCAATTACTCCAGTAAAACATCCAGATGTCTAAATGGATAAGTGTACAACTGTGACCTATATAATTTATTTAGAGTGGGGGCGTAAGTTAAGAAAAGAAAAAAAAAAAAACGAAATAACAATAAATAAAAGCCTGATCTCTTAGAAATGACATTCTCCATGCAGAAGACTGACAATGTTGGGTTGAACATTAAACAGATTCTGAAGAGCTTTTAATGTCAGAAATAGTCACTGCTGGTTTATTAATGTGGACCAATAGTTGAACAAATCAGGCAAGAGGGATCTCTCTTTGCCAATATGGAAGCTCTGGGGGGTCAAAGCGGAACAGGGCACAAAGGTCTGGCCACATCAAGGGACAGCTCAGCATCAGCACTGCCAGGGGTTTAGGGGGGTAGAATTGGAGGGGGGGCGGGGGCAGGGGACACATCGAAAAGCAAGAGTCTCACCTATTTGGAATCCGCTTACATAGATGCCGTTGTCAGTCTCTTCTGGTTAATGACAGAAGAGGAACACGGCAGCAGGAAAAGAAACACACCAGTTAATAGACTAGACATGATAAGCAAAGTTAAATCACACACACATACACTGACACACAGAAGAATGGACACACACACACACACACACACACACACACACACACACACACACACAGACAGACACAGACAGACACTTAGACCCCTGTCCTCTTCTGAGGGCCCTATCAGTCCCGCCCCAACAGTTATTAGCATTAAAGTGAAGAATGGGAAGTAATGTCAGGGTTAGTGCCAGCAAATGCAGGATCAGTATGGCCACAAGCCATGACCCCCGACCTCCTCCCACTAATGTCACGACCTGTCATCAAGTGGCGTCCATACTCTGGGTTACACGGCCGAGACATGGCTGCTCCCCTAACCGGGCAGACGTCATGGTAAACAACCTGCCTGCGGGCTTCACGGCACACCGGTGTTTCTTAGTCCAGTCCTTGGGGACCCCTAGGCAGTCCACATTTTTGCTGCCTCCCAGCTCCCAGCCAATCAAAAACACAGAATACCTGGTACATGGTGTGCCGGGAGCTGGGAAGGAGTAGAAACATGGACTGTCTGGGGTCCCCCAGAAACACTGTAGTAGAAGATTGAATACTGATCCATGTGTCGGGCTGTAATTTGACTTTGCATGTCATGCAGGCCAATAGGAACCTGCGTACATCTATTAGATGGCAAGACAAACACTGGGCAGAGATTATGTGCCCAAGCTATTGGCACAATCGGCATTCCAACAGACAGACAGACAGACAGACAGACTACACTACAATGGCTACTACTGGAACCAATCAGCAAAAAGCTTCACTGTCTAGACTAAATGAGCCCAGCCAATGACAGGCCATGCATATGATCCCTTGCTAGTAAGAGGGCGGCGGTTAGTGTACCTTCAACTTCCTCCGCTGGCAGCATATGAAAAAGCACAATGGGGGAGAAATTGTTAATATTTTGCATGGAAATGAATATTAAGGAGTGACTAGAGTGGACAGAAGAACAACCTACCACATTCAACAGCCACATCATCTTAGAAAAGCGAGAGAGAAAAACAGGAACAGATAGAAAACAGACTGTTAAAATCTTACGTGAAATAGTGATGAAAACAATACTCCTCTGCAAATACACCATTGATGTGGGGAAAAACAGATTAAAGATTTCTTTCTCTCTACTATTTCGACAATTGTTACTTTTGGGAATCGAAAGGAAAAAACTCAGATTTCAATGTGCGTCAGAAATCCTTATTTTTTGCCAATATAATAGAGACTGATGACACAGATACACAAGGACACGCAAAGATTGTACCTTATAGAAAAGCATTACAGAATGAAGGGCAAATAGGGCGAAGAAAGCATTACAACAGTACACTCATGAGTCACATGGCCCCCAAATCATTGACAGGCCCACAGATGCATCTCAGGCAACAGGGGAGGGTGGGGGGTGAGTAGAGGATGAGAAGCACATGTTAGCGCCCCGTGTGTGATTTAGTCCAATCAGGTATCCTGAAGCTTAATGAGTAGGGATGGATCCAGGGGCATTGCCACTGGCCACAGTTGAAAGCTAATTGGTTTCCAAAGTGTTCCTTTCCCTGTCACTCACTGTTTCATTGGGTAATACAGTATGTATTAGCCTCTAAGAATTATGGCCCCTCTTATGCCCCCCACCTTTAAAAAATACATCATGGAATCGCTTCTCTCAAGGAGTCAAGCATGTAGAGTTCACGACCTCTTCACATCTGGATAACAGTACCACCATCTTTTGGAGCAGGGATCGTCAGAGGTCCAGTTTGGAAGGGGTCGCCTAAGACAGTAAGGCCTTAATCCAACTTTGTCACCTCTTCCCATATGCACTGATAAAGGGCACGTCGGATTCAAAATTAAAAGAACGTTTAGGCTGAAGGACATCCGAGGAGCATTTGAAACGCCATTCGTTACAGAAGAAGCTGAAGGATGACCCTCCATCACTTTGTTGACGAAATAAAGTTACGGACTGATGTCACTCCTCCTTTGGCCGAAGAACAGATGGGTTTTTTATTGGAGTAGCCTCTGCTTGAATAAAATGCTAACTGGTTTCCAAGATGAGCCGACTTTTTCCAGATGACATTAAAACGGGACTTTTACATTTATCGATCCGCTCGACTGCACCGTCTACGGCCCAGGTTCTCGCACAAACCAGCGTCGGAATATGACTCCATCTGATAACAGTTTACACTCCGCAAAGGGAAGGATTTGCACACCCGACTGCTATTCTCTGAACCGGAACAGCAGACCACAGCACCGCTAAGACCTCCTGGTGACTATAGTGATTTTAAAGCTCGTCTTGGATTTTGGATGACCACAGAGGTCATGGTCCAGGAAAGACAACAGTACCCGGGCAGGTCAGGCCTCCTTCCCCAGGGCAAAGTGGAACTTCTCTGAGGTGTTTGCCAGCAGGTTACTTGATCCCTACAAATCAGTTTAAATCCTCCATCAGATAAGGATGGTATCCTCCAATCACTGGTCTTAGAAGCAGTCTAGTTATACACCGTAGTGGACTGACAGGGAAGGTGGTGGATGGCTCATAACTCAAGGAACCATCTATCTGCATTAAACCCCACCGGACTGAGTCACCTGAAGACCACTGTATATCCTTAAAAGCTTCAGTCAGAAAGGTTTGCTTTCCTTTACTAAATGAACACTTGGTCAGTTCAGGTTTTGGTTGAAAATGATGCTAAAATAGCTGAAAATTTGACAAATAGTTTTATACATTAACATGCAGTAGAGGAGGAGGTCAGACAGGACTCCTGTGGTCAGATAACTGACCTTTCAGCCTGCCGTGCCATGATGCCCCCTCACGTCACTGAGCAGCCTGCCGTGCCATGATGCCCCCTCACAGCACCACATTACACGTTAAAGATCTGTATTTTAAAAACCTCATAGGAGAAGGTTCAAGCCAATGGGGCAGAAACAGAATCCGAAAAATATCAGCAGCTTTGATCTGCTAATTTTTTATGCAAACAGAAGTGTTTCCATTGCTACAGGAAGAGTTTTATTATTTTGCAATTAAATACTTTCAGGTTAGGAATTGTAAAATTTGGTGCTTTTTACTGGTAAACTTTGCCTCTGCTGAGTTTCTAAAATATATTTCCAGTGCACCAGTTTTAGAAGCACAAGTCTGCTTCTGCTCTACGTTGACGTTCAGAGAAATCATTCATCAATTTTCGGGAACACTCAGCCTCATTAATATTGTGTATAACTAAATGATTCCCGTATTTCTTTTTAATGACCCAGCTACTGTTAGCATACCGCAGTTCTTGGTAATGTTCAGAAGATGGATTGGGGCTGATCCGTCTCATTAATATCACAGTGGACTGAAGGCCACTTACACACCAGTGTAACGCCTATGGCATTCACTGCACTCCCGCACGAAGGTGGACTGGTCTGGGATCAGCCGTCCTGCTCCATCAGCCACTGTAACTAGGACGTTTCCTGCTGCCAGGAACAAGCCCACAGGGAGGGTGCTGTTATGTCACCCTCCTGCTGGAATGTCAGCCCCCCGCTGATTTGGGACCCGGAGGGCCAATGTGGCTACCGCCGGAACCTTCCATCTGCTTAGCTGCTGAATTTATGGTGACAGACGCAAAGCAAAAGGGCCCCTCGCCTGACAGGTGTTACATTACACCAAGCCATGGCTGATCTCTTTGGTAGCAAGGCCAGGTGCATTGTAGGCCAAATGAACACCACTCACAAGGCCTAATGTCCAGCTGATATCATTGTGATACATAAAAAAACAACAAAGGCACTCGGGGATATTGTGGATCCTGAACCAAAGTCCGAGGGCACCAGGAACACGGTTCCAGCCGGTTGGTCTAGGATCCTTTTGCTTTCACAAAAAAGATCCTAATCCTCCTCTTTTTCACTGGAGCAACATGAGCCCCAAATCGTGACATCTCACAATTCCAGGCTCTCCGTAAAATATTAATGCACCAAGATGGGATCAGCCTCATTTCGGGGGGGGGGGGGGGGGCATCACACCCGTGTTGGGTCACATGGCCGTTCTCCATCAACGGGAAAAGATCGCAGGATGCAAATCACAGCTTCTAGACCCACAAACCATAAGTCTGAGTGTAAAGTGAAGAGGCCTAAATGTTCTGTCGCGGAATTTCAGGCCTGGACTGCTTTTCTGGGTCTTTGGATATGAACTGTATCGCTAATGTGGGAGACAGGCTTAGCAGCAGGAAGATGGATGCTACTCTTTGCAGCCCGAAGGATAATAAATGGTCAGGGAAACCTGACGTTAGCCTTCGATGACATTACAATGTCAGAATTTTAAGTGATTCTTTAAATAAATAAATGTGGGTTTCATTAGCAGTTTTTCTCTTGATGATCTCAGATCTTTTGTTTCAGAAGAAAAAAAACATTTTTGCTATGTTCCCTAAATTCAGGAATACTCCAAGTTACTTGCATTGTTTGTTTAAAGAAATATACTGAAAAAAATTAATTAACTGACAATAGCGACTGTATCTTGTGTAGCATCATCTGAATTTCTGCATAAAATTTGCTAGTCAGACTAACATCATTGGATCTGGTGGTAAGGCATTAAATCTGTACATACCACATAAATCCCAAATTAAATCATGTGCTAACCCTATCTTCCATATCTGAGCTGAATTAGTATTTACTGCTAATTAAATCGAGTTATTCTGAGATGCAGTACCTTTCTTTGTCGGACAGAAACCCGGCTTTCCCTCAAAAGATGAAAGCGGGACTGCGAGACAGAATCACCCTACAGTTTGGATTAGCACTCAAATACTGTTATCCAATGAAATTAATCTTGGGTGCGGTTTGCCCTTAAGGTGGCTGCAGGGCGTGGTTTGGGGAAAAATAGATGGCTGAATTCCACTGGTGAGGCAGACATCAAAATGTGAGAGATCCAGGAAGAAGCAGCGAGTCGGGAGATAGATGAAGGCTAATGTAACGAAGTAGTACACATTTCTTATTGCAGGTATACTAAAAGTAGATTTTCCAAAAGTTACTCAAATAAGTATAGCGGAGTAAATATAGCGTTTAAGATGAAAGTAGTATTGACCATTTATCCGCTTAGCAGGTGTGTTGACACATTCTCCGTGCCGCAGCACCTGCTACACTGGGGAGCACCGGTTACCCTGGGAATTTAGCACCTGCGTCACATGACACACGAGCTTACATGATCTTCGGTTGGAGACCTTCTGGGGCTGGGCGAGGACTCCCGGCCGGCGAAGTGCAAACCTCCTGCAGGAAGAGTAAGAGAACCACAATAAAACCATCAAGCTTTCACAGCCCGCCTGGGATTAATAAACACGTTTCTGCCACCATACCGAGAATGTTCTTAAATATCCATGAAAAGCGGGGAGTCGGACACCAACACAATGCCTCCTATTCAAAGGCCCCTGAAATAAATCTGCCGGCTTTGAGGTTTCGGGCCCCATTTGGTGCCAAGACCTCGCCCCGGCCCCCGAGCTCTGCATTGCACATCAGCGGACGGCCCGAAACTCGCCACCGACGCACCTCTTTTCCATACGCGCCGTGTCCAAAGTGGACCAGTACCAGCGCTATCATTTTCTGTCATTACTCATTCCAGGCCAGACGCGCACGGAAATCCAAAGTATTTTGGCAGCGATGCTAGTAGACTCATCACTCTTATTGTCAGGAGTCAAACAGCATCAGGTTGGCCTGGACATGTAATGGGGGGGGGNGGGGGGACTCAGGATGGTTTATTTCAAGGACTCATGGGGCCACATCTGCCACGTGCCGAGATCCGGCTGGAATTGGGGTTGTTGGGGGGTGGGTGGGGGGGGGGATGATTTGTTTGGGTGTGCGGCGACAGCGAACAGCTGAAAGCGGTGATAGATTCCTACTGAAAGCTGCCCGTCCTGCTTCTACATGCAAACCTGGTATTTATTGTACAAAAAGTGTGCTGAAAGCAAGGAGGGGGGCTGTGTCACAAAGGGCGGGCGAAAAATCTGCAAATGCAGAAATCTAACTAAAAACAGACAAGCAATGGAGCCCTGACAACAGGAAGGCACGCAAACACACACATTGTTTTCTCTATTCTAACTGCTGGATCTATGCTTTAGTGAGGTGTGTCACAGGTGAAAAGCACGGACACATGGAGGAGCCCCACTCCACCGCCCGGCCACAGATACACACACAGGTGGCCATCACAAAGGTCACAGACCGCAAGCCTCACCATCATTGCTCAACCCTTGGCAAACTGGCAGCCACCCCAACCCTGAAAGCAATGGCCGAAGGGGGGGGGGGGGGGGGGGGGGGGAGGGGGGGGGGGGGGGGGGACACGGTCCAGACTGCCCTTGTTTCTGAGGAGCTGGTTGACCCCCCAGATGGACAGCGTCGAGGAAAGCAGATGTATCCCCTGGAAGCTCACCTTTCCTGAAACTGCTTGGAGGGGATGAGGCCAGCACGGGGGTTGGCATCGCCCTCATGCCTGGCCTGCCACCAGGTGGCGTCATCTTGACTCATGATCTGAAGCACATCTCCCTTCTTGAATGCCAGGCCGGCCTCTTTGCAAGGGATGGCTTTGTCCTCACTGGGGTCAAAGTCGAAGAGGGATTTGACGAACATCTGGAGGACAGCGAGAGAGATGCCAGTGCAATGATTTGAGGAGGATCGCCTTTGCTGGGCCACAGTGACATCAAGGCATGACTGGAGGACACCGGATGCCTGCGGCAGCCTGATGCCCAGCGGCAGGTCGGGGAACCCCTACTCCCGGACTGTTTTACCTTCCATCGAGTGTGATTAACGGGGACAGTATCAGCTAAAGCATTCACTGCTGCCTCATTCCACCTCGAGTCTCCAGGATTCGGAAATGGAATCAGACCACGATTCACGGCGACGCGGGATAACATTTCCCGATCCGAGAGCTCCGCTTTGGCCCACTTTTCCGGATTTTTCCGAACCCGAGGCATTGCAGAAGGTTGATGAATCCAGGCAGCGCGGGGGACAAACAAAAACATTGACGGTAACAGTGTACAGCGCGCTCAGACAGAGCTGTCATGGTGAATTACGGGGTATTCGGCTGCCAGCAGCCCCAAGATGGAGATGGGGGTGGGGGGGGAGGGG